TGAATGCATTGAAAACTCTAAAAACATTTTACATGGAGTGGCAGAAGAAATCTGCTCTCTCAGGTTTGCTAATACAGAAATCCTGCAGTGCTCCGCCAAGACTACAGCACTTCTGTCTGCAGGACTGATGTGGTTGGTACTGGCTCAGAGATTTCTGTACCATGCTGCATTTTGAGGGGTGGTTGTTTTTGTAGTCTGCTCCCAAGATTAAATCCTGACTGCTTTAGTTCTGTACATGAAGCCCCCCGTAAAGAGTGGAAAAATTCTGAAGACTTCAAAATGCTCTGGAGAAAATAGTGACGAGTATGACACTTAACCAAAAGACATACACTGGGGGTCAAGGAATAGAAAATATCATGCATTTCCCTCCGCATGTTTTCATTTTCTTTGAGAAAGAGAAGCCCTCTAATTCTAAAACTAAACCAAAGCAAGAAAAAAAAAATCCTAAGCTTTCCATTTCTTTCATAGAAAGAAAAGAGATGAGGCCAAATTCACCCCTTGCAGGTAACTCCATTGTCTTTCATGAGGTTGGATGGGGAACTGATGGGCCCTGTCAAACCCATCTGTTCAGCTAAAGGAAAAATTGGATAGCAGCATGTAAGAGGATGGAGTTATGTTCCTTTTTTATTTGTATTTTTTCATCTGTGTTATTGGTTGGATGATGTCTTCTCCCTTTTCCCTGGTACTACCAGACACATCCCTTACACAAACCATCCGCCTGAAGACAAACCTCACCAGAAGTGAAGACTGAAGAGAAGGCCACCATGGATCATGGATGTTGAGTTGGTCAGCTCCAATTTGTTGGATATTAATGTTCTTTTCTTTTTGACTATAGACTGGTGCATTACCCATCTCAGCTGAGGTGGGAGGGAAGTTTTTACTGAACACCATTTCCAGACAAGTGCACAATTGAACTGTCTACACTTAAGCATCTCATGTCATTTTGCACACCCTACAGTCTTTGACATATCTGCCCAGGTTTAAGACTTGTGGGAGTCCTATGCCATTGAAGCAAAGGCTGGACCCCAATGGGATATTGTAGGGCACCTAAAAAGCCAGCAGGTGCTTATATTATTGAATAAAATCCTAAGACCCCTCCTTAAGGAAGTTCCTACCATTTTGAAAGAATGGAAGAACCTGAGGTAGAGGGCAGCTCTGGATTTAATTTAGACCATCTCCTAAATGATGCCCAATGCAGTCATGTAGGGAGGAATGGCACCTCACTCATCCTTGCCTCAGTCTTTCATACCAGTACAGTGGCAACCCTGACTTGAGACATTTAGTCTAGGCAGTGGAGTGGCATCTTAGTTTTCCAAAGACACTTCCTGAATTCACACATACTGACGAGTGACGGCCCAAGATCCTTCTCCAAAGCCGTGGGGTCAGACACAAGCCTAGCATGTGCACTCAGCATGCTCCCAGACCCCTATCAGGCTCTCCCTCTTCTCTCCTTATAGGTGGGCAGAGCCAGATCAAGGACTAGGACTCTCAGATGCACTTTGGATGATAAACAAAATTCACTCAGGCATTTTTCATTTACTTTAGTAGCAGCTGCTCAACCTCTTACATTATATCATTGCAGTGGATGACTAATTACATAATAAAACTTAACAATTATGCATAGGCTTCATTAAAAATCCCTTGAATGGGGTGGAAGTCCCCAACCATTGAGCTGTTTCAAGCCTGAGCCCAGCTTTGAATGAAGAAGTACAACTTCCAGCCCATCTCAGCTGATGATCAGGTTGTAGCTTCACCTCCTTGACTCATGGTGGACTTCACATCATCAGACTGTACCCATCTAAGAGCTCATCATCTAGTATGAGTTCATCAGCTAAAGTCAGAGGAAAGACAGAAGTACACCCAGTGGGCAATTTACCACACGTACCTTAGATACCATCCTAGGCTATAATGAATCAACTTCTGGACTTGTTTGTTTCTTGCCATTTATCCTAGCAGAAAACTAGATAAATAGCTTAGACTAGATGACGTAGCCAGATGAGATAAATTCCAGTGCTGCAGTCAAAATCTGTTTAACTTAAAAGGCAATTGCTCAGCAAATGCCTAGTCTGGTTTTGTTGGTTTTTTTTTCCCGCCATGCTTCCCAAAGAGCTTCACCTGCTAGTGATGTTGGGCTTGGTTCTGGTGCAAAAGCAGAAACAGTGGATATTAGCATGCTGTGGATGGGCTGTGGTCAGAGTCCAGCTCCCATGTGTGGAAACTAAATCATTAAACCTGTTTCTTCACTGGTCTGGTATAAAAGAAAGGGTTTGAAACCACCTTGCTTAAAAACATTAGGGTAAGTTAGCTGTGGGTGTGACCCTTCTGAAGTCAATCAATTGTCAGGGACTGTGACCTGCAATGATTTGCATCTTCACTGTTGGGGCACCATTCACTGACAGAAGTACCTGGTGGGACATGTCTAACATCTCTCGCTGTGACTGCTAACACTGCAGCACATTAAGTAAATGAGATGAATCTTTCCTTGTCCCATCTTTTCCAATTCATCAATGTCTTCTATTGCATATATGGCTTTCTTCAGTGTTTGCTTTCTTGACAGCTTGTGTTTGAATACTGGTTATTGTGGCAATTTCCCGCTCCAGTGGCTTTGTTCTCTGTTTGCCTTAATTATCAGATTTTCCTTTTCTCACAGTCTGTATTACAAAAATCAGTCATACATCCATTAGTTGGTCCATATTTCTCCCAGTTTTTAGTGTTTTATTACTTTCTACTGCTTGTTGTGTGGCCATCCGTTGGGTGCAATGTTTACAAATACAAATACGATTGATTATCTCCACATTTTTTTCTTGCCTCTCTTGATCTCTTTCATTTTCTTTCCCTCTTTTCTGTATCTCTGCTCTCATTTCATTCCATCTTTTTTTGCAGAGCATTGATAGAAGTGCCTCCATCAATAAGCAAAGCTTGCTTGTACCCTTGGGCACAGCCCTGAGACAAATGGGTGATGCATAAACTACACCAGCCTAGGAGTAGTCCCAGGAGACGCCATGACTCAGAGTCAACCCTTGGAGGCATAATTTGTTCCTGTTTTCTCTCTGATGGGATTAAGCTCTCTTTGCTCCCTGCCTCTCTGCATACTCCCTCCTTTGATTCCCTGGAATAAGCTGGCATACAGGAAGAGAAGAGCTCTCTTATTTTTCTACATAGATGTGCAAGTGTGAACTAGCCAACAGCCATTACAATATTGGGATGAAAAGACTCTTATGGGTCACTGACTGTTAGATCATACCCCATTTCTCTTCCTGTACTGAAGAGGAATCAAAAATGCCTATCCATTGTCCTTTTCCCAAGGTAGGAAACCAAAGGTATGGGTAAGGTAAAGAGAATGCAGTACAAGTGCATCTGAGGCTAAACAGGCTATGACTTTTTGCTTGATTCACGACAATTCATTTATGCCAGTATTGACCAGGAATAACTTGAGGAGAGTTACAGTGCTGTAAAAACCAAGGTGGTGGAATGAGATTCATGCCTGATACCCATGTGGCTGAAGAAAACCCTGATGCCCATGAAGGAGGTGAGAGCTGTTTCTGTAAACCGGCAATCCTGATACGAAAGCAGAAGTAGAGCAGCATTTAAAGGCAGGGAGGCAGAGGTGAACAGCAGAGATGGGCCAGAGCTGCAAAGCTGGGATTTGTCTCTGTGTCCAAACTTGCCTGAACTCCGGGCTGCTTCAGAGTCTGGGGTTTGTGCGTTTTAGTCTGTGCCGCTTTTAGAGACGTGAATGGCTGTAGAAATTAGGTATGGAATGAAATTTGACTCAAGTCTGAAACTGTTCCAGCTGGTGGGGTGTGGTGGTGGTGGGTGGGTTCACCATCATGTAAATTAGCAGGTGACAAGCAGTCCTTCAGAGTCTTGTTCCCAACACATTTGTGGTCTAAGGCTTTTGCTAAGTGCCCAAGGGGAAGCCTTCATGAGGTGCAGAGAGAGGATGGACTAAGTGCACTTTCCACTGTTGGTGGTAGCATTCTCTAATGAAGTGGGAGGGGTGAACACTTTCCCTTTCCTCCTCTACAGGAACAAGCTGGGATGCTGAGGAGCTGGATATCCTATACTCAGCAGTGAGTGTCCAACCCCAGGACTCTCGCTCTGCACCACATGTTTCCAAGGAAGACTCATTGACTGATCCGCGTACCAGGCCACAGCTGGAGCAACATCTCTGTTTGTGGGGCTGTCTCCTTCTCAATACACATAGTGAGTCCTTTTCACTTCACAAGTCAGGCAATGAACTTTTCCGTACCTTACACATTACCTGTGCACCAGCAGGGCATTTGCAGGAAACCATCAGCAGTTCTCTCTCTTTCCTTCTCCTTCTTCCTCTCCTGCTCTCTACAGGTGTGACTGAATCCTATGTCAAATCCGACAGAAACTACTATGCTAAAAAGTTCATGTGAAAAGCCTGTCCACTCTACAGCTCTAACACATTTGTAGACTTCTCTGGTTCCAGGGCAAAGGAGTATTTGCTTTTGTTTTGTTTTTTGTTTTTTTTTTTTTAAATAATGAATTTATCTGCTTTTAATTCTTTTGCTGCTGTTGTTGTTGCTCATATTATACACAGTCTGGCCATTTGGCTATGTAGATAGATCTCAGAAAGCTTAGAGCTGCTGTCCAACACAGCCTCTGTCTGGCTGATGGAAAAGGAGATACTTAGGAAGATGCAAGTCTTTCAAAGGACACTTAATCACAAGAGTCACTTCAGGTGGGTGAGGGCCGAGCAAATCCATGCCCTTGCTAATGCTCTTCTTTCCAGCTCTGGTTGAAAAAACACTGTCTCCTACAGGAGGCATTGTTGGGGCGTAACTTGCGTGACTGCCAGATGTACCTCAGGATAGCCCAGAAGTCATTAGACCTATTCTATCCAACCAGTTTTAGCCTTTTTTAAAGTTTTTATTCTTTTAATATCAAAAAAGTAGACTTCTCTCATGTCTGCAACCTCAGAGGAAGTAGGCTCAAATCTGTTTCTCCACTTGGAGCCCAGCAAAGGGTTTTGCCTGCTTTATTTGCATGTGTGGACATCATAGACTCGTATACACTCCTGGCAGCGTACGTAGCAGCACCAGTGGAAGATACAGTGGCACTTTTCTTTCCGTTTCTCAGTCCTCGTGTTGTGCCCGCGGCCGCAGCACAAAAGGTCACAACCATCAATCCCATGGGAAGTGACGTTACAGATCCTGTCACGGGTCCCAAAGGAGCCTGTCTCAGGGTTGGGCTCACAAAAGTTTGGTGAGTTCTCGTAGTAAACCAGGTCCTTCTCAGTTGGAGCCTTGAAGAAGTTGTATTTGGGTCTGAGTGTCTCGACCCAGCCACGGGATTCTCGATGTTTTTCCACCACCATTTCAGAAGCACTGTCGTACTTGTCCTTGAGGTAGTCACCGATGACCCTGAAGTCTGGCTGAGACCACCAGCAGGTCTTCACTTCGCAGCTGCCTGAGAGGCCGTGACATTTGCACTTAAGATGCATGAGTTCAATAATAGACTGAAAAAGAGGAGAGGAATGACAAAGAAGAAGGAAAACATTAGCCTGTAATCAAAACATATATTACATTCTGTTATTTAGCCAAGATTTCCCAAAGAATTGCAGTGTTTTCATAGATATATTTACAAACTTGTAAACAAAAATCACCGTATCCTCCTGTCAATGCCCTGCACAGATGATGGGTTGAAGGCAGGTAAAACCTCTGCAACTTTATTTTTCTCAGTGACTATCTCTGATTCCCACCCCAAACTTAAGCATCTACCAAGTGCTTTCACTAAGGGCTGAAGATATTTCTCTGAATACTAACTTCTATCTTATCACACTATTCATGTATGATAGATATTGCAGCACAGTCACCAAGAACATGATTTAGACACATCTACCAGAGAAGTGAAGAACACACAAACCTACTAAAACAATGTCTTCATAAATGAAATATACAGCTATTCTACTGGAAATTAAAGAAATATGAAATGTACTAACCATCTAGCACAGAATTCCATCTTTTACATGTGTTTGATGTTTTCTTAAGCAAACAAGATTCTAACTTTGCTGCAACTATTCTCAGAAACCTGAAAAGTAGTGTATTTTTATTTTTAAGCCATGTTTATGATTTTTCTAAAACCGTATTAAAGAAAAAAACAAACAATAGAAGCCCAGCTTTTGGTTTCGAAGGGCTCAGACTTCAACATAAAACATTGTCCTGGAATAAATGAGAAGGTGATTATTGATCCCAGAAGTTTGCTATTACTTCTTATGAAATTAGTCTGAAGGTTTCTAGAGGTGTTGCCCTACAGTATTCTGAGGTGGGAGACAGCCTTATGCAACTTACTTGATAATCTGCATTTTCTGACTGATCAGCAAATTTCCAGGTACATGAACAGACTAGTGCCAGCCTGAGTCCAAAAGATTTGCCATGAATCAGCACCTTGGTGCTCACCAGGTGCTTTCCTGTGTTATTTACGGAGTATCACCCGCCGCAAAGGAGGTTGTAATTAGTGATGAGAGAGAACCACAGAATGTTTGGTTCATATAATCATGCTGAACTTAATCAAAGCTTCTGGCATAGTGGTAGAGTTTGAGTTTATATGGGAACTAATATGAAACATGGCCTATGGCTCAGGTTTAGCTGGAAACACTTGAGTATGGAGGCCTAGAAGAGCTACCCTGTGAGAGCTACCATGGTGAGTATGGAAAACACTGTTGCTTTATAAAACAGTAGGATTTCAGATAATGATGTGACATCTCTCTAACCTTTGACATCTGTAAAATGTTCCAAAATAACTCAGTGTCAAGTAAGAAGACTTACAGTAAAAAAGACCTTTACAGGCATGTGATTACAAGGATGTTTACTTAAAGCTCACATTTTCCAAGGGCTCTCACTTTAAGGCAAATCCCTCCTTTCCACTCTACCCACCTTCTCCACAGTCCTATTTGTCTCATTATCTATCCCAGCAATGCATGATACTTTGGGGTACCTGGAATAATTTGGGCCAGTGCTGGAGGAAACTACTCATTGCTTGTAGTTATCTACATTGCAGACAATTTTTGTTTCTGGCGGTATTTAATTTTGAAATTAAATTTGAAATGTATTCCTTATTTCAGACCACTCTCTTGTGGTGTGAGGTGGGGTAACTCCACCAGGGTTTGACACTGTCCACCCAAGGAACTCACACCAAAGCCCTTGCCTGGCTGAGGACAGTTGTTCACATGCATCTATTGTCATTTGTGAGCTCCAGGCATTTCTAAGGTATCTGTCCTGAGATGGCAGAGGTCCTGCAGGACACACACAGTCTTTCCTAGTAACAGCCCAAGGAAACGCTGGATAGTTCAGGATATCTCAGTTTATACTAAAATGCATTTACTTAAGCAGCTGAATCCTCCCCATAAACTTCAGTCCATCATATTTAACTTGAGATGTCTACAGAACAGACATCTCTGGCTGTACAGTTCACCTTCCTACAGCCAATGGAGGAGAACAGGCACAGTTTGGGCACCATTAACTAATCTACTTCAACTGTCTTCTTCAAGCTGGGATGAAATCACATCCTATAGCTGTCTGTCTTCATCCATTCTCTGTAAAAGAGGTCTGGACAACTGACTCCAAGGTAGACATTTACATCTGTATGGGTGAATTTACTTGTAGCTTTCATAGACCAGGTACATTAGTCACCTCCCTGACAAGAACTATCATACGGCAGGTGTCATAGAATCATAGAGTGGTTTGGGTTGGAAGGGACCTTAAAGCTCATTCAATCCCCTGCCATGGTCAGGGACACCTTCCACTAGAGCAGATTGCTCAAAGCCCCATCCAACCTGGCCTTGAACACTGCCAGGGATGGGGCAGCCACAGCTTCTCTGGGCAACCTGTGCCAGGGCCTCACCACTCTCACAGGGAAGAACGTATCTCATCTAAATCTCCCCTCTTTCAGTTTAAAGCCTTTCACCCTTGTTCTATCACTACATCATCATTTCATGGTGTAAAACTGCTCAGATTTATGTCTGGTTATTCCCCTTAATTCCCTCCCAGTGTTCATTGTGGCAGGTAAGAAAAGATTAATGGGAGATTGAGAAAGATGAAACTAAATATCCTTACTGTCCTTCCAGCTTCATTGTTGTGCCTGTTCATGGCTGACCGAGCATCTGGTCTGTTCTCTCGGGCATCCGCAAACTCCCGAGACACCATGCTCCCAAACTCCACGTCCTCGCTGCAGCCCCCCCATTTCCAGCCTTCCCCTGGAGAGCCCTTGTGGCGGGTGTCACAGCCGCAGATGGTGGCTGAGCCCTCGGCGCAGGATCTGGTCACCGCAAAAGCCACTCCAGCAGAGGCAATGGCATGGACAAAGGCTGATTCCCTGGTAGCTGTGAAAGAGAGAAATCAATGAATAGTGGCCAGTGAAAGGACCACACACGGCTTTGATCAGCCCTGTGAACACCTTCCCTCAAGGGCATGGCAGAAGGCCAGGAAATTCTCCTTTTTCCTGTGGTCCGGCTTGGACCTACTCCAAATACTCCAAAGACTTTTTCGTACACTAGGAAATAAGGTCCTGTGTAGACAAGACCAGGCTTGATTCAAGGCCACTGAGGTCGGCCAAGAAGTTTTGACTAAGGTCATCCTAAGGTCTTAGGATAGGACCATGACAAACAAAAAACAGTGCAAACCTGAGTTTCAGGGGCATGTAGAATATGCTCTATGGTACTTTGCAGGCAATGTATCATGTAGCCATATTCTGAGCTGCAGTCTTGGCTTCAGATGCACAGAATTTGGGCTATGTTCCTGTAACATGGAAAATGCAGGTCTGCACTTATTTGCAGTCTCCACTGTTAGTGATGGGACCTGAACCAGGTAAAGCACCTCCTCTTCCTCAACTAGGAGAGATGCTGATGGCTGGAAGGTAGGAAAATGCCAGGATGGCCAGGATCCCCAATTCTTACTATGTAAACTAAACATTGTCCCCACATTCCATCCTGAGGACACCTTCTTTTTCCTAGGCTGTCTAGCTCACTTACAGACAGTGTTTAATATGTGTCATCTTGCATCTATCGAAAGTTTTGGTCACTTGCCTAATTAAAGCCCCTACCAAGGGGACTGGAAAAGAGCTTTCCTTTTCTGCCCATTGCCTCAGAATGGTGGGTGGGATCAGACAAAAGACATTGTGTTAGGGACTGAAGAGCCTTAGTGTCTGTGGAGACTTCCCTTCACAGCCTTTCATCCTACCTGGACCTGGATCAGGAAGGACAGCTCAGCATTAGTCTGGCTTTCCTGGATACCAGAGCTTTTTCTACACTGTGCCAGAATGAAAACCAAACATTTTGAACTGCTTTTCAAATAGGGAATATACCAAAATATGAGGTTTATTCCCCTCCAGTTTTGGTCTCAGTATGTTTCTTCACTCATTAGAAAAGACAGTTCCACACCATGCCTCAGAAAACACCACTGCAATGCTTCTTGGATTCAGCAAAATGGCTGAATGGGGCTATTCTCAAACCCTTGAGGCAATTCTAAGAAGACACAATGATTCTGATAAGTGGCCTCCCTTAACCTCCTATACAGTTTCCCACACGAGCTCACCTTGTGCGTATGGACCAGTTAGCAAGAAAGCATGTTGTCAATGACACCTTTCAGATGATTGATCTAGGACAGTGCTGAAATACGAATGGATCTATAAAGGGAAAATGTAAGGTTTTCAGCTGATGCAGCTTCACCAGCTTCTACTGAGCTTTGCATCAGCTGACAAGGTGCCTACTCAAAACCACTCAAACCTTCTCTATACTCCATATTTTGCTGATCTGAGCTTTGTCTGGACATTGTGTCTTAATCTTTACGATCTAGATGCTTCCAGGCTTTACTAACGTGAAGACAATTTAATACACCAAGCCTAAAAGCCAACAAGTTCTTGGGGAGAAATCAAAACTGCATGCTTGCAGAGCAGCCCTGGCTGGATTGAAGGCTTAAGCAAGAACTTGTGCAGCACCATTTAACTTTGGGAAGAGAACCAAATACAACAATATGCAAATCAAATAATGTGCATGAACATACAAGCCAAAGGTATGAGCAATGTCCTGGAACATGTTGTCAATGCACATCATGAGGTTAGTAAGAGACTGAGGGCTAGAACCAAAAAAGGAAAATGCGCGAACCCTCAATTCCAAAATGTGATTTTGAAAAGCCCTTGTTCAGCATCTGTCCAGCCTGGAGGATCCCAGCTTCCTGCAAATGGTGATGCAGTTCATGAGCTGTGTGAAAGCTCAGCTTCTGAGCATGAATAGATGAGTCCAGTTTTAACAGAACTGGGGACTTGGCATCTTGCACTTACCTAAGCACAGCTGGGATCCAGAGACCAAATCTTGGGGGTGGGGAGTTTTGTATGATGTCTCCAAGGACATTGATGACCAGCCCTAGGGTCTGTGAAGGCAAAGGCTTCTTGTAGAAGCCAGTCAGATAAGCTAGTTGGATGAATGCCATGATCCTCTGGTAGAGAGTATGGTGCCTGATGAGAAAATAGCTGACATGCCTTCCACCTCCTCTCTTAAATAATCTTGAAACCTTTTAATAGAATCACAGAATGGTTTGGGCCGGAAGAGACCTTAAGGATCAACTAGTTCAACCCCTGCTGCAGGACAGGGACACCTTCCACTAGATCAGATTGCTCGAGGCCCTGTCCAGCCTGGCCTTGAACACTGCAGGAATGGGGCATCCACAGCTTCTCTGGGCAACATGTGCCAGGGCCTCACCACCCTCACAGGAAAGAACTTCCTCCTTGTATCTCATCTAAATCTCCACTCTGTCAGTTTAAAGCCGTTGCCACTTGTTCTATCCCTACCTGCCCTTATCAAAAGCCCCTCTCCAGATTTCTTGTGGCCCCTTTAGGCACTGGAAGCTGCTCTGAGTCTGCCTGGAGCCTTCTCTTCTCCAGGCTCAGCAATCCCAGCTCTCTCAGCCTGTCTCCATAGCAGAAGTGCTCCAGCCCTCAGAGCATCTTCATGGCCTCCTCTGGATTCACTACAACAGCTCCAACTCCACATCAACTAACCCCACAAGTGCTTCTCCTCAGGGCTGCTGTCAATCCAGTCTCCCCCAGCATGTATTTGTGCTTGGGATTGCCCCAACCCAAGTGCAGGACCTTGCACTTGACCTTGTTGAACTTCATGATGTTGGCACTGTCACCCCTCTCCAGCCTGTCCAGGTCCTTCTGGGGGACATCCATTCCCTCCAGCATGCTGACTGCACCACACAGCTTGGTGTCATTGGAAACTTGCTGAGAGTGCTCCATCCAACTGTCCATGTCACTGACAAAGATGTTGAACAGTGCCAGTCCCAACACTGACCCCTGGGGAACGCCCCTTTTCACTGGTCTCTACTTGATCATTGAGCCAGCAGCAATAGCCAACAGCTAACATTGACAGCAGCTTTTTGAGAGACACCATCCAGCTAGTCTCCACTGAGTGGTCTGTCTGTCAAATCCACGTATCTCCAATTTACAGAGAAGGACGTCTTGCAGGACGTTGTCAAATGCTTTGCACAAGTCCAAGTAGATTATTTCAATTGCTTTTATATGTTCTTCTTTTTATAGAATCTTTTCCCACTGCCCTTGCTGTCCCTGGCCAGATTTAATTTTTTCCTGTCTTCAGCTTTCCTAACCTGTTCCCTGGCTGCTCATACAATTTTTCCGTATTCCTCTCAGGTTACCTGTCCTTGCTTCCACCCTCTGTAGGCTTTCTTTTTTTGATGGAGTTTGTCCAGGAGCTCCTTGTTCATTAATGAAGGACATGCTGGCCCATAAGCTGTCTGTTGGCCCTTCATCCATCCTCAGGAAAAACTCCGTGCACTCCAGCTGGTCAAAGACATAGAGGTAGACCCCCCTTCTCATGTCCCCTGCCTGTCTTTCCTGAAGAGCCTGTATCCTTCCATTCCAACACTCCAGTCACAGGAGCCATTCCACCACTTTACTGTGATGCCAATAAAATAACAACCCTGCAAGCATTGCACATTTCTGTCTCCTCTTGTTTATTCCCCATGCTATGTGTGTTTGCATGGAGACATTTAATTTGGGTCTTGATGAAACTGAGTTACTGAAGCTGATTTTTGATACCCTTTTATATCATGGACAGGAGAGGAAGATGATTCTTCTTCTTACTTGAGAATGGTGAGGCCCTGGCACAGGTTGCTCAAGGAAATTGTTAATGCTCCATCCCTGAAGTGTTCAAGGCCAGGTTGGATGGGGCATTGAGCAACCTGATCTAATGGAAAGTGTCCCTGCCCATGGCAGAAGGGTTGGAACTGGATGGTCTAAAGGTCCTTTCCAACCGAAACCATTCTATTATTCTGTGATTCTATTATTCTACAACTCTTTTTCTCCCTTCTATCTGGTGGATGTAGTGGCTAAAGCACATTGCCTGGGTAAGTTAGCTCTCATCTCTTGGGAATCACAGATGAGCAAGTGCCATGGAGAGCCCCTGTGCCTTGCCATGCTAGGACTGAAAAGAAAGCATCTACAGGAACGATGTTTCTGCAGAAAACCTTCTCCTGTATAGATATGAGATGCGTAGTCTTGGCTTAGAAGA